GCCTTTTCTAAAAGAATATATGACCTTTAATCATTATATGTGAATTCACCATTATTTAACTTTTAGGAAAAAGGTCTACCCAAATAATATGGGCGCTATAGATTTTTAACTGCAGAAAATGTAATATCCATTTCTGATTTCATAAAAACTATCTTTGGAGCATTGAAGATGTTTAAGTTATAGTTTTTGAAATAAAAAAAAAAAATTATTATATAGTCTGATATGAAACCAAACAACTTAAATTATTATAGATGGAGTAAACCCTTAAATACAAGATTTATACTCTAATCCAATGATTTATATTTAAATTTAAGAGACTTATTTTGTTGTGAATACATTATTCTAACTTTTAGGAAAAAACTCTACGTAACCATATGATATAGGCTATTGGTCTTAGACTGCAAAAAAAAATGTAACATATCCATTTTTGATTTCATAAAAACTACTTTTGGAGAATGAAGATGTAAAGTTATAAGTTTTGAAAATAAAAAATAAAAAATAAAAAAAATAAAAAATAAAAAGAAGGAGAAAGAAATCAATCCTTATAATATGATCTTGTATTCTATAATTTATAATCTAAACAGCAAATCACCAACGTCCTCTGAAAGGTAAGTTTTATAAACAGTTATTTATATGTTAAAATGCATCCATTAAAGAAGGATTTGCTCATCACCTCTTTCTCCAACTCATAAATTGTATTACAGAGAACACAATCCGCCTTTTCAACGTTGGTAAACTGATCGTGCACGACCATTTTAAAGAAAGCAGGATACGATCCCAAATCTGAAATAAAAGAAGGCATGTCCCTAACTTCCAAAGGAGGCAAACCGGGCACCCTGACTGCTTCACCTCCGGCCAGCGGAAGCTTAACCACACCCTTATGAACGTGATACAAAATGCTGTCTACGGCACAAGACATGGTGAAAAACACCGCACCCACCAGTCCAAACTTCCTGGCCACATCCAAAGCCCAAGGCAAGAACGCGTCATAAACAATGCAACTCAACGGACCTGATACCGACGCGTTAAGCTTCTGGACGAGCTCGGTCAGAGTTTCTGGGCCAACCTTCCAGAACCGTTCGAGGTAGTACTCGATGCTTTCTGCCTGAGCAATGCCACCTTCGTCGTAGCCATCGGATATGGTGTCGAGGGCGATGGAGCTGGAGGGTGCGTGATGGATGGTGTTGGACATGGAACGGGTGGTGGCAAGGGTGACTGCGATGCCTTTGTGTTGTAAGCGTTTGGAGAATTGTAGCATAGGGTTTAAGTGACCTTGGGTTGGGTAGGACAACACCAAGCAGTGAGGGTTGCGCAAGGCTGCCGATGATTTCTTTGATTCCGCCATTTTTTAATGGAATGTATGGGTGGAGATCTATCTCTTCTGCCTATCTGTGTCTTGATTTATAAAAGTGAACAGTGCTGTGCTGATATTTTCGTGAAGTGTGGTTATGGTTTTCGCTAGAAGATCGAGAAAAGAAGGCTTACGTCGGGGCCTTACTTTAGCAACGTGATTTGCCTGGTGTCAAGAGCCACTGTAATTATTGAAAATTGATAAGTGCTAACCGCACTCGATAGACCATGAGTGCAGGTACATTTGGTTTCTTATAGGTTCTAGATCAATTTCACTTTATATTTGTAAAATAGGGTGATTGAACCACTTGGAAGGAGTGTAGCTGCACTCTATACTCCTTCAAGCACAGCTAGGCTAACACTTCTCTTGAATATTTTAGTTGACTTTGACAAGAAGAAATTTTTTGTTGTCAATTAGCAGAAACCGTTACTGTATTGTGTAGTGGGGAAAACTAAGGGTGTATTTGGTTGCTCTTTCCTCATAATGTAGTTTTAGGGAAGCTACCAATTTAAAATGGCTTGACTTGCCCAGAAATATTTATTTCGGACACAAATCTCCAAAGGAAAATCAAATGGTTAACAAATGATAAAGCAAACATCAAATATATATGGAAAATGATTGGTACACCCTCCAATTCCATACCTTTCGGTTTAGTCGTTGAAAATATAATATAAATACAGTTAATTCAGTCAATTTTCGTATTCTATGTGCATGATTATATCATTATACTT